GTACGGTGATGTGTTCAACTCTTTGATGTAGGCGGTCGGGTTTCAGTCGTAGCTTCACCTGAGAAGGTGGCAGTGGATCCCGATTCATTCCCTCAAATAATGGTGGGGCATGTGATCGCTTGTGTGGCCAATGCGACGAGGTTTGCAAACGAGCACCGCTGGTGGCTTATGAGGCTATGGAGTGCCATGGAGGCCGCTTCCGGAAAGGAGCCGATTCCTCTTAGCGGCATTGAAGTTTCTGTCTCTACCTGGAGTCTCAAAGTACCTCAGAGAATGGGTACAAGTACTGTACCGTACCTGTTTGTATAGGGTCATGTCCGTACATTAGAGCGTCCAGGTACAGTTTGAGGTACCTTACCAAAAAGTCATATGGAGCCGAAAGGAACTAATATCCTATCCTGTTTAACTCCAAGTACCTTCTAAGGAGGTGTTTGGGGTGGGTTTAGAGGGTCCAAATAGCTTCTGAGGAGGCACTTGGAGGCATAGGGATCCTGTTTAACTCTATAAGTAGCATATACTAATCTGCACCTCCGGTGCGGAGTTCGGTTTGAACACGAGCCATGTAACCATGCTGGTCAGGCAATGGCTACGTGGAGGAGCATCCCATGGCACGTCTCTACCGGCAGGCACCATTGAATGCCATTTGGGAAGGCGAGGTCTCAGGGTCCTCCGCCTCGATGAGACGACGAGACGGTCCATCTGTCTCGTTCCAGACAGATGGACCCTCCTCCAAGCCCCTCGACCCGGTGATGACTGCAGAAGTCAATTTAGAAGTAGACAATTTGTTAAAACAAAACACATTGATCTGCAAGACTAGACCAGCAATGACCAGCAGTCAGAAGACGGGGTGCCGGTTCCGAACGGAAGGAGTACAGGTACTCCCTCTCAGCTACTCCACAGCCCCTGGGATGGGACGAAAAACACCACCCAAGGGCCCTCCATGTGACTGCTGGGAGTTCTGTGACTCCTGGGAGTTATGCATGAGGGTTCATGTACATCTCCCGGTTCATCTTCCAGCATTCCTCGGAGGGTTTTGATTTGGAGAGGTGAGGGTTTGATCTTGCTCCAAGAGTCCTTTGCTTGGTTTCTTGGAGGGTCGCTGTCAGAAGAACTCCTGTTCAGAAGGACTTTCACTGGGTTCGTCACATGGGACATGGCATCACCAAAAGCAAATTCGTTGAGCCAGGAGCCACATGTCGGGGTGGTGTGGCTCGTCCCATCCAGTGAGTGGATGTGACGGGGGCACCCCAACTTCCTCCAAGTCCGGAACCGGCACCCAACTCCAGATGGAACTGCTGGCAGATGTATTTTGGTTTCCTGCCGTGCGTGAAAAAACCATGCCACAGGCTCTGGGAATGTGATTTGCTTGGACATTCTCCGGGCACTTCAGAAGGAGCCTGCCACGGCTGACGCCTTGCTGGATGAGCTGCGGCGTGCCAAAGAGTTCGCCCTGGAGCTTGACAAGGAGATTCCCAACTCGTACAACAAGACCCTGGAGGAGGTCAGGGTGCGAAAAAATGAGTTCAGTAAGCACCTGAGTAGAGAAGGTTCATGAAATTAAAAGAAGTAGACTGCTGACTGTGACTACTCTCTCTCTCTCTCTCTCCCTTTTTCCTCTCTCTCTCTGTCTCTCGTTTTATCATGTTTTATCCCTGTCCAACTACTGTAGGTGGAAGAACAGTTGGACTCTGGTGATGCAGAGTTGGAACTTGGCGCTCGTGAGTTTGCCGAGAAGTTGGCCGTGTGCTTTCAAGCCTCCAGCCTCCTGCAGTTCGGTGACTGAGCTCCAAGAATGCCCAACAACGTTCCGTTGCGAGGGGGGAACTTGGACGCCTAAATGTCGACCCACCAAACTCACAAACCGCTCGACTTCGATAAGCCCTACAAGCATCGCAAGCATGGAACGCCCCCGAGAGATGTTCAAACTGCTGTCATTTGGGAGTGAAGACAGTGTCGTTTTTGCTGGAGAAGTATCCCACCTTCTGGTGAGAAACCAGAGCTGAGTGGAGGGGGGTTGTGTCATGAGACTACTCAAAGGACCCATGTGGCAAGGATTGACGTACAATAAAAATAAAGGTTGAATTGTGTGGATTTCGTTGTTTCTTCCCCACCCTCCAGAATACTGTTCCTTCTCCTGCAGCCTTGGGTCGTATTTAAAAACTACTTGAAGCAGATTCTGAACACGTTTTCAGGCAGGGACGGCCACGCAGCTCAGGTGATCCGTTGGTGGCTCGGGGGTTTCTGGCCACACGCTTGCCCAAAGCTCCGACCTTGTCCACGCATTGCTTGGGGAGCTCCACGAGCAGGCGGGTGAATGCATGAAGAACGATCCACCCTCCTTTCGGGTGATGTGTTGTCTCCATGTAGGTGCCAAAGCTGAGAAGGTACGAGTGAAGGTACGATTGGATCTGTAGGCTAGGGCCTAGGGAGAGTTGTTTATAATACCCAGACACGACTAATGGGACTGCCATAGGACTGCCGATCAGTTGGGTTGGTTTAGGGGTCAATGGGGCGGCAGTCCTATGGCAGTCCCATTAGTCGTGTCTGGGTAATAGGAGTTCCATGAAGTTGGGCGGTGTTCCTCGATGTGATGTGGAATGCCCGACCCCTTCACCACCTCCTCCAGAAGTGATCCTCGGCACTCGTCCGAACGGATTTGGATCTGACAGGGTTTGACGGGTTCTCGGGTGATGTTAATCTTCCCTTTCATGGGGTGACTCCCCTGACCCCTATAGGGATCCAAGTACCTTCTCACAAGGTCTCCAATCACCTTCTGAGAAGGTACTTGGATCCCTAGGGGGCATGAATCTTGCCGTGGAGCTGTTTTTGGAACGACTTACATGGGAGTGACCCTTGCTGCCCTTGCTGCCCGAGTTCAGATGTTTCGTTCGTGACTAGGCAGACGTGCTGCCCTGGACCGACGGGGGAAATGGGACACTCTTTGATCACCAAGAGAGCTGAGCACCGACGGGTCCACTTCGCCCATGGAAGAGGGGCTCATTTCATGGAGCGTCTTCCCACACCATGGAGTGTTGGAGTACATGTGGCGCGTGTGTATGTTCAAACCCGGGAGACACGGAGACACCGCCCGACATCTGGCCGAAACAGGCTTGGTGGACGTGTGCAGAAGGTAGTTAGACTCTCCAAACCCGCACCAACCACCTTCCCAGAAGGTAGTTTGGAGCCCTATTTTTCATAAACACCCATGTGGACTGTTTCATACAGACTGCCCTGAAGAATTTGCTGGATGTGTTTTCTTCACATCCCCAGGCTTTGCTGTGTTGTTTAGAACCAACCATCAACATGACCCCACCCAGGTCCAGTCTGACCTGTCGGTCAAGTCTGCTGGTCCTGAATACCTCAGTATATATGTGCTTTTGCATGATGAACTCAAAAAATGATGTCTTTGGCCTGTAGGGTTAGTGCACTGGTGACCCCGGCCGTGCGAATTTGATGCAGCCACTCTACTGTTCGGCCAGTTTCGGATGGTGTTCATGGTCAAAGAACTTACTGCATTGGTCATCCACCTCCAAAGTATGTCTGCCATACTCATGGGATATAGGCTATAGAAGGCTATAGGTATTTACAGTATATAAATAGATTCAAAAAGCGCATTGACAATTTTACCTTAGGCCTGGCGGGGGGTTATTGCTTTGTTTTCTTGCACCGTGTTTTCAGTGCCGGACTTCACCTCAACAACCTCCACAGCTTTTCTTCTTCTCAACACAGCTTTTCTGCCAGGCTGCCAGAGAGCATCACCGATCACCTGCTGCAGCGCCTTCACATGGAGCTCCACATCCCATCCCGCCTTTGAACCGGACCTCGACACGACCGGTGGGACCGACGGATCTATCGCGTTCTCAAAGAGACGGAGTGATCCATACCCGGATGGGCGGTTCATACCCTTTTAAACGAACATGAGATGTTGATGCAAACACAGGGTACGACTGTACTCATTCTCCGGGTAACAGGTGGACGTATCTTTTGGTGGTGCAGGAAAGACTCTTGGGGTGCATTCAGCACGACTGTCAGAAATCATGGGATGTTCATGGAAATGTTGCACGCTTATGCACATAATTATAGTACCAAGACATACCAATACCATCCAAAACCTATAAAAATGTAGTGTCTAAAAAGCAACAACAACTCAGTTTTTGCAACTAAAACCGGGTTTCTCAAAAACCATTCACAAAAGACATGTTTTTTACGGGTAAAGTATCGGTTTCGCATTGGATAAATACGGGTTCTGAATTGAACATGAGAAACCATGCTTTTCAGTGAAAAGCTGGTTTTTTGTCGTCTTGTATGCCAAAACATTGGTTTTCGGAAAAGGTCGTTGTTTTTTTTTCCTAGGGTTTGGTTGCTCCTGGTATATATAGGCAGGCCCCAACAGGTCTCAATTGGTGACCTGTTGGAGGGTGCTGATAGGTGTAAATCGTCCAGTCCCATCAGTCCTGTCTGGCGGATTGCTTTGGAATCTTGGGCCAGAAGCGCCCGTGGTGGACCGCGGTGTCCCACCGACATCGAAGAAAGCGCGAGACGAAGCTCGAGTCGCGCGAGCGAGCGAAGAGAAGAGGTGGGAGTTGACGAGTGGAATCATGGCAGTTAAACTGAGGGAGAGTGAACAGTTCGTACCAACCACGACCTTCCTGCCGTGACCACACTTCAGGATTGATCAGTGATCACAGACCTATAGTGACCTCAGCCACGTGATCTCAGCCACGGACGGTCACTGGGAAGGCATTCCATCATCTCATATTCCATTGGGTGCTGAATCATGTTCTGAAATCCAATGCATTTACAAGTCCATTCTCAGACACCAACTGGCATATTGGGTTCCCTATGCCCCCCATTCACTGCACTCAGAAGGGTCTGGCTCCGGTGCTGCTCAAGATTTGGTGCTTTGGATCTCCAAACAAAGGCCGCAAAGATGCACCGCAAATGGAAAAGGGAAAAGTCAGTGACGGTCGCACATGTGACGTTTTCTTTTCGGCTCTCAGGTCTCCTGGAGCTCAGGCTGGGAGATTTTGACGTCGTCGACTGAGGGATCGAATTCACTCTGCTTCCGAGTTGGTGCCCTCCTCAACAGGTATAGCTGGTGACTTGAAAATACCTATGGAGGAGCCTAAAGTCGACCACGTACCTCAGAAAACGGGTCGTGTCGTACCAATGTCGTCCCATTTTTTTGTTCGGCGGCGAGCGATCGCTGATGTATTTAGATCGGGTGATGGCGACAGGAGACCGAGCGGTTGACCTATACCTGGGAGGTCGTCGTTTGCTATCTCTACCTTTTCTCCACCTTCCTCCTCTGCCCGTATTTTGCAAGAACGCCGGGAGAACACCGGTCACCAGGTCGTTGGCCACTACGGTTGAGATCGCCTAAGTAGGTAGAGCCTGAAGGCCATGGAAACAATTATTTTTACACCAAGTGGCTGCCAAAAAATGCGATTGAAAATGCGTTGGTTGAAAAAATGTGATTGCTAGAGTAAGAAAATGCGATCGAAAATGCGATGTTCTGAAAAATGCGATTGCTAGATGTTAAAAATGCGATTGAAAATGCAATGTTGAAAAAAATGCGATTGCTAATGTCAAAAATTGTGATCCAAAAATGCAATGCAATTAAAATGCGATTGCTTGCTGCAAAAATTACGACTGAAATGCACCGCCGACAAAAGGCGCCTGGGCTCTTTACAAGTGTGCAGCTCAAACGCATTTCTTTTGGCGATTGCGCAGTCCAAACGCATTTTTTTTGCGATTGTACAGCCCAAACGCATTTTTTTTGCGATTGCGCGGCCCAAACGCATTTTTTTTGCGATTGGGCAGCCCAAACGCTTTTTTTTTGAATAAAAATGCGATTGACAATCCCAATCGCACTTTTTCGCACAAAAAATGCGCCGCGCCCGGACAAACGCATTTTTTCGTAAAAAGAATGCGCCGCGCGCAGACAAGTGCATTTTTCAATCGCATTTTTGCAACCTCCGCAGCAAGACCTTTTCGCAACGCATTTTCAAAACGCATTTTAAATGCGATTTGAGGCGACAAACGCATTTTAAATGCGATTTGTCAATCAAATCGTATTTTTTTGCGCCATGGAAGAGTGGTAAATTTGCGTACGCGTGCAAACGCATTTTTTTCGCCAGCCATATGTCCAAGGTCGCCGGAAACGTATTTTTCCGGGGCAGAGTTGGGGACGAGCCCGGAAGCGAGCTGAGAACGACGTTTGCTTTTGTCCTGTCCTTCGGTGCTTGTCGTCCAGCTAGCAAGCTGGCAGTCTGGGTTGGTCGGAGTGTTTACGTCTATTTTTGGTTTGCAGGACAGCGCTGGGGACATAGGCTGTCCGAAGCAGCCAGACAAACAAATGTGACCCAAAATCCTTTGCAAAAACATCATTGCTCGCTGCAGTCAAAGTACGCTTCAAGATTCAATACCAAAAACGAGCGTTGGGGCTGCTGCCCCACCTGATGTCTATAGAGAACACTTGAAAAGCCTTGGCCTTTGATTGTGCTTAGTGGCGCGCCCACAAGGCGAACAATTAGGAAGTTGTGATACTTGCAAGCTTTCTATTTTTGCAAAGTGTTCCAGGGCTGCGTTCCCACGTGGGGACTGGCTCCCAAGGTGCATTTTGGATCCTATTTCTTGAGCCATGGGAAGTGAACAAATAATTCCCAACAGAGCTACAGAGCCTACCTAGGTTAGGCAATCTCAACACTACGGGCGTCCTTGAGGTCCAGGTTTTTGCTTCAGAGGGCCCGGCCCCTCGCCACCACGAGGCTTTACTTGCCAACTCTTATTTTTTTGCGGAAAACCATCATGTTGTAGCTCACATTCCACAGCGTCGGTCTCCTTGCGTAGTGAAATAATTCAAAAAACAACCCTCATATCATATCAATACTTTCTCCTTTGCTCAGCTGATGTCCAGGGTGGGTCTTAGCCCGCTAGCTACAAAAAGAATCGATGTAGTACAAAGCAAAAGCATGCAACAGCAACATAAAGAGGCCAACTTCAAGACATAAAAACAAAGGCAAACCAGCACCACGGATTCCGGGGTCCATTGATAGCCCCGAAAAGAGGTCATGGGGTGTCCATTCACCACCCCTCTGGGGTCCTGGAAAGCAACACATGAGTTTTGATCTCGTGATCGACCAGAGGCAGTGCCAGAGTGGATCGACCATGCCCGACAACAGACGCATGTCCAACAAGAGACGCGAGACGCGGCTCTACGCGAGGGACGCGAAGGGTGGGCGAGGAAGACCGTTGGGTGTGGTGCGGTGCTTGGGGCGGATCCGACAACCACTGACAAGATCGAGGGATCGGAAGTGATCTCTTGATGTTTTTGGCCGGTCAGCGGGTGAATCCCCTGGCATACGGGGGGATACTTATGACCGGTATGTGGTGTTCACGAAGAAGGTAAGTGGATATTTATGATCTTAGTCCCGGCTTCGTGGACAGCAAAGAATAGAAACCCAGCGTCCTCCCAGGAGGTCAGATGGTGATTGGATGGTAAACACATTGGCAAGAGTGGGGGTCTATTAAGGTGCCAAACATCCAAACTGGGTGGTGTTGCCTTTGTATGTTGTGCGTGTGACTGTTTGAGTTAATTGTTTTATTTCTTGGCTTTGTAGGAGAACATGGATGTCTGACATCGAGTGGCCCAAGAACTGATTCTTGGAATCCAAGCTGGTACGATATCCCAAGAAGCAATGATGAAGCTTGGAATCTTGTTCAGAATATCCAACCTCCTCCATGTTCTTCAAACCCAGACACCATCCATGAAACTGCCCATATTCGCTAAGAAAAGGCCAGGGGTGCTTTGGCATACATTCCCGTCCCATCAGTCATTCGTGCTTGGGACAAGACAGCAATATGTTTTAAAAAATACAACATAAACATGCTGAACCAGTCTAGCCAGTGTGGTCAACGCACCAGTTTAATCCGTCCTTTGGACTTGCTGTTTGCTCCTGACGATATTCCAAGAGACCGGTACCTCCCTCCGATCCCCCGTCCTCCCCGGTACCTCAGGTGTCGGGAGAGCAACCGCGTGTGGCAGATCCCCGCCACGGAGCGATGCGACGAACAGATCCGTGCCCGTCCAGTCGTCCAGTGTAACCCAGGTGCAAACCTGGTCGACTTGACCTCCCATAAGACATGACAAATAAGTAGTGTTTGGGGTCTATAGGTCAGTAAGTCTCAGTAAGTATTAGTTTTGTATGACCATCTCCAGTAAAATGAGGTCAGTTCCTGACTTGTAGGGGTGGTTTTCCGCAGCATGGAACGATGACGCGAGATCTGATGTCTAGTAACAAAAATACGGCTTATATAGTTGGTGCTTCTTCACAGTTGCTTCGTTTTTCTCCGGAAATCCACCGGTGTTCCAGAAAAAATGGTATAGTTTCAATGACCCCTTGTTCAAGCCTTCCAGGGGTGCAAGTGACGCAGATGGACAGCTTTGGGACATGATTCACATGTTCCGGCAGATGTTTCTGGTAAGGACGAACGCTGAGCCGGCAGGATAGGGTTTGCTTGAGCACTTACAATTACCTAGCCAGGAAGAAGTGGATCACCTTGAACCTGTTTCTTGGGTGCCCCGAGGCGACCCGTTCGGCCCCGAACCAACTGCTACATGTTGCTTCGGTCCATTTCACCCTGGCTGGTTTCGGGTCATGTCACCCTGGCGAACGGGTTGGGTCGAACCCCTGGAGCCGAAGGTGATTGGTTTCTCCACTCAAGTCCAACCGGTGGAATATCCCGTTTGGCCTCCGTTTTAGTACCGAATTTGAGAAGGTGGGACGACCGGGGCCCGGTTGCCAGGAGGGTCCAGTCATACCTTGTGAGGAGGTACGACTGGAGGTGTAGGGTATATCTTTATGTTCCAAAGAAAGGCGACCCAATGATGTGATTCTCTTCACCGGATTGGATGAACATCGGCTCCATTCCCCCCAAGCGGAACCGAGCTTCAGCTTGTAGTCTCGCGTGTTTGCATCATCGCCAGGACAGCGTCATCGCCCACGTTTGCTGGGATGTCAGCTACATGGAGAACACTTGGCGGAACACAGGCGGAACGGAGGTGGAGGAGAGGGACTGGACTTGGCATTGTTGGATGAACAGGTGCAGTACAGGTACCGGTGGTACTATAACAGTACTATAACACAGCGTTTGATCATTGATCTTCAGCATGCTGCATTCCGCACTGTATAAAGACCACTCTTGAATTATATTTAAATTTATAGAAGAACATGGACAGTCAAGAAGCAGACGACACCAGGAGAAAGAAGGCGCAGCACCATTTCACCACCAATCATAGTTTCAGAGAAAACCACATCTTTCATCAGGTCAAAGAGTCAAGAGTCAAGGACTTCATGGAAACTGGGTCTGACCAGACAGTCCCACACCCTACTCAAGTCCCAAACAGTCCCACTGCCCTCAAACCCCTTCGTCAGTGTTCCGGTCGTCCGGATTCAGTGGCACCGAACCTGAGAGAGATGGATTCGTGACTGCCGAAAAATATCGTCTGTTCCATGGAGGTTGGGGTGCTATCCATGGAGGTTAAAGGCAACTGACAAAATCCTACCCCAAAAGAGAACAAACATTCGAAATCCATGGTCCATAGGGGGACTAAGGCATGACATGGTCGTTATCTGTTGTTCTAGGGGTTTTGCCTGTCACATCCACTCACTGGATGGGACTACAAAGACAACCCCTTTGTGACCCACAGCCACTTAGGGACTAAACACCACTCCCTTGTAACGGGTTTTCTTCGGATCAGGGTCTGGTCGAAGCCTTTTCTTAGGACACTGGAGAACTCCACTTCCATCTCAATGACTTGGCAAGTCCTATTTCTTTCGTCGCCAGGTCGAGTGTATCACGTTGGGAGCCAGAGACGCGGAGGGTGGAGACGCCACAGGGTGAAGATGTGAACGAGAAGATGCACTGGGGATGGCCCATCCACTGGTGGTTTTGTTGGGCATGAAGTCCACTGTTACATGCTTTTGTTTTATTGTTTTTCTTGTTTTTCTGAATTTAGTATTGTGTTTTGATGGGGCTGGGTGTGTGTTTTTAATGGAGAAGGTCAGAAGGTTCTTGTTTCCAATGCTGTTTATGGGTTGCTATGTCATGTTATATGGGACTGGGAAGGGTAGTAATTTGTTTCCAATATGGCTAGTACAAGCATAAGTATAAGTAAATAATATATACATTGTGAACCTATAGAACCAACCCATTTGACAGCGTTTTTGGTAGGAAAAGACAATATTTTTGGATAGTTGATCCTCCAAAATGGAGGTCAAGACCATACGTATCTAGGAATATATGGGGCCATCAGGTCGGTTGTGGAATCGGTTGTGGAATCGGTTGGAAGAGAAACCCGTTGAAGTCATCAAGCTTGCAGGCTCCAATGACGTCAAATGACCATCAATTTCCTGGTTTTGCGAATCAGGGTGATTTCATGGTTTCCCCTTATGGTGCAATCCCCTTCTGGTGAATGAATTATGTGTTTCCAGATTCCTGAAGCAAATGAAATCCAAGATTCTGTTTGTTGGCCCGGCCACCTTTTGAAGACGACATTTGGCCGCATGCGTGGGACATGAGCAGTGTACACCACTCCCCTGTCGATTGCCCGATCCGCGTGGTCTGCTGGAAGTGTCACCGCGTGGTCTTGATCGAGGCCGCATCTCAACGTGCACAAGCGCGTGGGGTCGTGGTGCCAAATGTGGCCAAGCACATTGAGGCACAGAGCAGAGGGTGGCATATCATCCGGCTATGTGAGTTAGGTTGATTTGGGTTCGTCCGCCTCGTTCGCTAAGCATGGGCCGCCTCCGCTCCAGTGAAGTCACAGGAACGAAGGAAGTCAAGTCCTACATGTTGCAGAGGCTCCAGTGCTTTGGGGAGTCAACGTAAGCGAAACCAACTATGCAACATGTCTACCTTTTGGCTGGTTGAAATAGATGAACAGATATGAAAAGGCTAAACTGTTGCACAGTTGAAAGACCCAGGTCTCATGGAGTGTCTAGGCCGCTTTATCGTGGCGAGCAGGCGCAAGCGAATGTTTGGGGCCAGAAAAGGGTGGTGTGTTGTGCCTGAAAAGAAAAACGAGCCCAGACCCGCCCAGACCCATGCTCGGACATTTTTTTGTACCACATTATACGAAAAATAATTGGATTTCTCTGCTGTTTGGCCTGTTTGGCCTCTGATTCGCTGGGCACGCGCCCGCCTGCGCCCTCGCCAGAAAGCCGCCCCGCTGCGGTGGCAGGAGCTCTTGGCACCGCTGCGGCAGCACCTGCGCCGCGACAGTCACCCCGAGCGTTTGGCCTTGCTGGAGCTCTTGAGCGCCCTCGAAGTGGAGTGCGGCGAGGAGAAGCCGACGACGTGTGGAGCGTGGCATTGACATCATGGAACCCGACTTTTCAACCACCGCCAAGGTGTAAAATGGTCATGTCATACATATCAGGGATTGTCTGGATTTTTGTTGTTGAATTCTAGCAAGTCTTCCTCATTACACATTCCAGTGTTGATGAAAAAGAGTCGTGCAAATGAGTGAAACGGTTGCCTTCAGATTTCGCATTGAGGCAGTACACCGGAACATGGGGGAACAGGCGCCGTACCTGCTTTTTCTTGAGTCATGTCCCATGGTTCTTTGGGTCCGTCGGGTCCAAGGTCATTGACCATCCGAGGAGAGTCGTGGGGGTGACAAGCTCTCCCAGACCAGACGATAGGGACTGGAATAGTTATATATACCCTAGAAGTCCAAAGACTATATTTACCAGGCTACCGCCTGCAGCCGCCGACCCCCAAGGGATAGAACCTTAGCGCTAGCCTTGCTCTATGTTAGCCTTAGCCTTAAGCCTTAGCCTTAGCCTTAAGAGTGCAGACCCAACCCAGCACGACCAAAGCAGGTACCCAAAAAGTCGACTTTTTTGGTACCTCCCAGATTTACCATCGGACGTCAGCTCTTGCATGAACCCCGATCATTGCCCAAGAATTTAGACCCAACCCTTCACCACCAAAGCAGGTACCCAAAAAGTCGACTTTTTGGGTACCTCCCAGGTTTACCTATTTAGACCCAACCCAGCACCACCAAAGCAGGTACCCAAAAAGACAAAGCCTAGAGCATTCCTAGGAAAATGCCAGAAAAGCCTTTGAAAATCTCATAAACCAACAGAAAACGTGACAAAATCTACGAAAAAGCAAGGGCATTGGCCAGGACCATGCCGCGACCAGCCCGGGATTCGAGCCCAGGACCATTTTGGACCGTGCTTATTTTCCCGCGCGGGTCGAGAGGGTGCCCCAAGATGTAAATCAATTGGGATGGCAGAATCTTGGACAATTCCCGGGTCGCTCAGGTAGCTTTCAGGGCACGATTTCGTAACTGCAACAAGGGTCCGGAGGGGTAGGGGAGGTAAGGTCTAGGTCTAGGTCTAAGGCTAAGGACTAGGTCTAAGGCTAAGGACTAAGGCTAAGGCTAAGGCTAAGGCCTAAGGCTAACATCGACAGTCACGCCTCACCCCACGGTGTGGGGTCGGCGGATTTTGACCGGCTGAAGTAAAGGAAGTTCCCTTTCAGGTCCCTTAAAGACCATTCTTTTTATAGTCTTTGACTCCCAGGGTATATACATTTACCCCATGACAATGACCCTAAGGTATACGCAAACGATTCCAGTCCCATGGATGGTCTGGGTATTGTGCAATCAGACTTTGCAGCCTGAAGAGAACCAATGACTCGACCCATTCATATATAGACAATGTCTCGCATTCGAGGAAGATGGCTCCAAGGATCCTGTTTTTGATGTCTATTTGCTGCTGAACAGCACTTACACCAACTGACATGTTTCAGGGTAGATGACTCCACTAGACGGTTGGCACAATGTTTGCTCGTGATGATTATTTGTGGACCTCCAAACCAAATATTCTGAGACCCATCTACGACAGACCTGTCCATTGCAGGGGTCATGGCCCTTAGAATAGTAGAACATACTTATAATGCATTCATTTGTGTAGGCCTGGCGCTGTGTGTGATATTGAAAAAATCATCACAGGCAGCTTAGCAAATGCATGTGGCCCCCCACCCTCACGGGCTAGGTGCACCATGTAGCTTCACCCCCCAAAATCATATGCTTCAAGACTTCCGAACCGCTGCACCTTTCAGAATGAACGCACCTGGACACATGAGATTGAGCCTCCAGCATGCGTGCATCTCGGTCCCTTGCTCAGCCATGCGTCAGGAGCAAGAGGTCAGCTTGCACGGTCGCTTGCAACGTTGTGAGGCGGACGGCATGACAACAAAGAACCGGGCGAGGAATGGCGAAGGCATCAACGAGGAATTTACCTGTACTCTCCCCAGACACTCCATGTATACTTGTATGGTATATATGCATACATTGACCCCCCAAAACCACCCCAACTGATCGGCATATATGGCAGTCCCATGGGTCGTGTCTGGGCTCTAAGGTACCTGCGAAAATGGGACATGACCGACATGACCCGATGAAATGGTGGCTCATTTTCCGCAGTACCAATGGGTCGACTATACCTGGAGTATGGTGGGAACAAACATCGAAACGGCTTCCCTTTTCCGTTTGGAGGCTTCCCCACAAGTCGGACCCTGAGAATGGAGAACCACTGAACACTTGCACCCGCATCCAATGTTGCACAAGAAACCCACAGAAACCCCGGAAGAAACGTGGATCATTTTGCCATAGTTGGCCCTTTTTCTGGGGGGGGGAGGGGGAACACCGGGGACACCGCACTCAAATCCCAGGTGGACTTCATGTTCCGCTCAACATACCTTTTTGTTTGTTGGATCGAACCATGGCGATTGTGGTTGGCCCTGGGAGGCACGCTTTGCATGGCTAATGATATACACGATACCAGTGCATGGCTTTTGGAAGCTGAACAGCGGGCCAAAAGCATGGATATGCACGATCAAGGGGGGCCTGCTGAATTGTTCAATATCCTAGGCAAGTGGAAGCCATAGCCTCGTTTTGCTTGAGGTGTTTCTTATTTTCACTGTGGTTACTGTAAATCTCTTTCTGGGGAACATGTTTTATTTTTTTCCAGGTTCCGAACCAGCAAATCCAAGATAAGTGCTGGGAGGTTTTTCCTGGTTCACCTGATTTCCTGTGCTTTGGCTCCTTCAGTGCTTGAACATCAATTTCTTCTAAACCCCAACTTCGTCCATACCCTCCCTGGGGCTCCTGGCCTACGTCCGTTTCGAACATGGTTGGGGTGGGGGTGTCAGGGGGGTCAGTCCCCACCGAACCTGAGGAGATGGGGGAGCCTATACGGGCCGAACGAAAATCATACATGACTCACCCTAAACCGTCAACAGACTTTTGTTTGAAGTACGAACTGCGACGGGAACGGATTGATTTGTGTGTCATCGAGTTGGGAACGGAACGGGAATGCATTAATATCCACCTGTATTGTCCAAACCAGTGAGCCGAGACAACATTTTGCACACATTGTATGGAATGGAATTGGTACTGAAGATAAGGTATCGGTATTGGTTGGTTTTTCGATGAGCTTCCTTGGCGGGGGTACGCTCCCTTGAAGTGGACAAAACACCGGTTTGTGTTCGTTCACATGATCATTGATAATCGCAAGAACATTCCAGGAAGGTGTTGATGTAGATGTTGTATGTGAGGTTCTGTGAGGTTCACATGAAGGCCGAGACTCTTTGAAGTGCGATGGAAGAACAACTGATGTCCGTGGGTCACCCATGGCACTTGCCGAAGAATCCAGGGGTCACATGGAGTTGGGTGGTGTGGCTCGTCTCAGCCAGTGGCTGTGGAGGTGACAGGGGCACCCCGACTACCTCCGTTCGGAACCGGCACCCCCTCACCTCGTGACTCCTGGACTACCAGAATGCATTTTTTCCAGTGGCAGGCAGGATGTTTTCTATTCAACCACTCATCCGGAGTGTTTCTTGCGGGTCGTTCACCTACCCCAACATGTACGTGGCGCTCACCGAGAATCACTCGGCCGTCCCCGGGCGAAAGAACGTCATAGAGCCGAAGCTCGTGTCCAGGGACACGTGCGCATCTACGTGTCACAGCCTGAAGCTGAGTTGCGTAAGAAGGAACAGCACATGACGCTCTTGTGCCAGCCAAGCTGAGTGATTTGGGAGATTGGACACGTATACTAGGAGAAAATCGTAGGAAAGTAGTGCGTTGAAGAGATAAAATTCAGCGCTCTCAAAATAGCAGGGTTGCCGCATTGACTGATTTATGTTTGGTAATGTTGTAATCTTGATTGGTTCCTGCAAATCTGTATACAACAGAAGTGAACCAGCCAGTTCTCCTTCATGTAACCTAGATTATTGATCTCGGTGCCCTTTTGATGCCACACACTGCAAGTCCCTTCTACACAGCGACCATGGAGTGTTTGGGAGATTGGACCTGAAGGAGGTCTAGGTCGTGCTTTGTCAGATTCCATGATCAGACTTATTCATTAGGTGGCTTCTCTTCAACATGTACATGAGATGATTGATCCCAGTGAAGATATAACACGTAGTTCAAGTGAGTTGAAACCACCAACCAGCTCAGAGCTGCGCACCGAGGTATCCATGCGTGTCAGGGGACCCTAGATGGATCGAAAGAAGCAATCGGAACGAGCAGTGCCGGGAACGCGGGATCATCCCAAAACCGCTCGAACATACCCGTTTTGGGGGGTCTCACTACCTTCTGAGGATATGGTTGGAGCCCAAAACCACTTGAAAATCGGACAATGACTGTGACTGTGCTATGTCCTTGGTCCTTGTCCTTGTATTCATTTTCCGCAAAACGAGTGGGTCGACTATGGGTCAGTATGGTGATACAAGGCCAAGGCTGACTCGTGTTGCTTGGAGAGTTTCCACCTCGTTGGACTCTGAGAATGGAGAAATACTGAATGCATGCAGCATCCACAAGCATCCAATGTTGCACAAGACACCCAGGCAGAACGTGGATCATTTGGCCCAAGCTTTTGCTTGGAGATTGGGAAAGCAACCAAGAAAAGGCGCCCAGCGAGCCAAGCCAAACAACGACCATGATCCCCACCAGGCCACTCCCCCGGGTGGACTTCGTTCCGAACTCCGCCTCCGGAGGTCCAGGGAGGATCTCCAACGAGCACCGGCGCTTTCGGAGCCCCCACCAGCCCAAACAGATGGGCCTTTTCTTTCTGCGAACTTCGCGGACTACGCGTCAATGCATGAAACGGGGGAATGAAGGGGGGCTTCAAAAGGCCATGCATGAAACACAAGGGCCCCGCCTGGTGTACCACGAATTGAACGGTACCTGGGTGGGTCATGGCATCCGGTACCTCACCAGGGTAGGTTGACCTTCCAGATCGTCTATTCTATTCATTCTTGGGGAACAAAAGACCAGGGTGCCCGGGTGCCATGAGCCCACAGCCACCCACCTGGCATCACCTTTCCCAGACAGGACACTGCATGGGACTGCCATAATATATGCTTACATTGATTCCCAAAACCACCCCAACTGATCGACATATGGCAGTCCCATGGAGTGTTTGGGTCTATTTGGCTCAGGACATCGATGGTTCCATAGATCAGCATAGATCCTGCTATCGGTACATGTCTTTCGACACCGGATCTGAATTCTAGGTGGTTGCCAGGGTCGGGTCCAGTGGTACCTTCAGCTGAGAAGGTAGTAGGAACTGGATCTCTGGAGGGTTTGAAGGGCCTGATTTTCACCTTTCTCATGTCTGCTTTGAGGTCCTGCCTCGCGGTCTTTTGCCAGTTCCGACGATGGTGCTCGGCAGCTCAGGGAACTTGTGGTGTGTGATGCCATGTGGGTGAATCTACTTCCCATGTGCCATGGTAGCCCATGTTATCTGTTTCCATACTGAACACATATATTGAGATGCAACGCAGAAACCCATTTTCTAGCGTTTGAAGTATATACCTAGATCCACCTGGTGGACGAAAAAAGTGCCGCTTTCCATTGTGGCCAAAAATTTTGCCACCAGAGTGGAAAATTGCCGTCATCCAAAAAAAGCGCCACCAGAAAAACAAAACGCCACATTCCATATATGGGGAAGGATGGTGCATGTCTCCTCCACGTCAGGCTCAAGGATATACTCAGTTAGATTCCCCAAGTAACACGAGGTAGAGACCAGACCCTCACACTCACCTCCACGATAACGTCATCGCAATCCCAAATCCCTGACCGCTCTACGATTCCCATTGCCAAATTTACCAACTATACCCAACTTCTGGTACTCAGGGTCATTCTTCAAGGTCATTGTGCAAGCTTTGACAATTGACCACCCCTAACAAGAGTCTTTGTGCTCATGTGTATGCTACACCCTGATAAGCCAAGCAATCTCAGTGGTCCATGGGTGACAAATGTTGCCAACATGATTACGAGAATTTACGCCGCCATTACGCGGATTTACGCCGCCATTACGTGGATTTACGCCGCCAATACGCGGATTTTCGCTGCCATTTTTTCCGTCAAATTTCACAAATTTCTCGCAACACGTATGAAACTCAAAAACATAATTTCAATTTTTGTGTTGAATGCTTATCACTCTCTTTCAGGGAGCTCTGAAGCACGAAAACAAATTATGAAACATTGGTTGGTACTCTTCCGGAACGACCAGCCGTTTCGAAGCTAAAACATAGTTCAAGCACTGCACCAATTCCGCATTTTCCCAAAGGTATACCGGTCGGTATGTTGACAAGAAGTTCACACATTGGGGTGCGTTCATCAACCTTCGGGGCTTGACACAACTATACCCAACTATACCTAACGAAGGGCACAAATCACCCAACTAAACAACTTCGAGCCAATCACGAAAAACGCCGCCGCAAAATCAAGAAACGCCGCAGCTTTACAATTTACGCCGCCGTACGGTAAAAGGCAACTTTTTTGGAAAAGTGCCTCATACGAAGATCTAGGTATAATTAGAGTTCAATATCAAGACCACCAAAAAACAAGGAAACCGAGACAGCAAACAGATGCAAGATGACCCTTTCAATGTTCAATTTTCCGAAGAATTGTATTATAATATATTTAATTACATTTTTTGGACAAGTTTACGTGCAACATTAAGTGTTATGTGTTTATGCTCTCTACCGTGGAGTCCCACGTTGTTTCGATGGGGGCCCTTTTTCGTCGCTCAGGCGGTCGCGCTTCTCGCCTGGGAAAGTCGACCGACTCTTTGCCCCGAGGTCCCCAGATCCAGATGGAAGTGGCCTTTGACAATGCCGGTGGACCTGGAGGACCCTGGTCGACCCTGGTCGACCCGACTCAGTGGATGTTGATTGGCTGCTTCTTTGGGTGATGCAGATGCAGGTGTTTTGATCGTTTTAATCTGTGGGAGCCCTCTTTAACAGTCCCAGACACTCCATGGGACTGCCATACTGCCGAGAAACGGCCAGGGGTGGTGCCAGGGGGGTCAATGGGGCGGCAGTCCTATGGCAGTCCCATGGAGTGTTTGGGAGTGGTATTGCATGATTTATGTTGCCGTTTTTTTGCCTTTTCTTCGACGCCTGAGGCGTGGACCAGCTTTTGCGGGCGACCGAGGAACCGGGTCTGAGCTCTCCGAGTCGGCGCGAAGGCTCAGCCGGAAGAAGGGGCAGCGATCGTTTCATCAGCCAAAGCAAGGATGGAAGGATGGAATGAGGTACTGGACCTGTCGATCCGTCGTTTTTGTGCAGAAGATTCAAGACTCCTAGCCAGGATAAGTGCAGTGTTAAACCTCCCCAACCTTTATTGGAGGATTGGGGGCACCCCAGTCAAATCCAAGAGCTGGTCAGGACTCGACCTCTAAGACAGAATCCCTCTATACCCCTCCATCGTAGGAGTCGGAGCCGAAAACCAAACCTTTTCCACGAGAAAGAGCACGGAACCGGTAGACAAAAGCCGAAGAAAATCGATTCCAGGGGCAGCTTGGCCCCATGAGTTTCCTGTCGGGGTGGTGCTTCGTCCCATCCAGGGGCTGCGGATGTGACAGGGGCACCTGTACTCCTTCCTCCTTTCGGAACCGGCAAATGCTGGTAAATTTGACTTCTCCGCGCGTAAGGTCAAGAACAAGCTGTCAATGGTTCGAGAACGAGGGGAACCAGGCTTGATGTGAAGGAGTATGCACTTCCTGCCAGTCGAAAGTGATGGAAAATGGATTGGATTTCCAGAGTGAATCAACCCAAATCTCCGCAAACAGTCTCGGAAAAACTGGAATCCTTACCCCTCTCAATGGCTGAGTAAGAGGTCACTATACTGGAGTCTGGAGGTCATTGGAGTCTTCCAACAAAGGCAGGGCGAAGGTGGTTTGTGGAGTCGGATGCGAACATCGGTTGGAGTCGGATTGGACATCCAACTCGATCAGGGGATTCTGAGCAATCAGCTTCGAGATATTTCTGTGGGCCACTTGAGCAATCAGATTTCTCCGCCACTTCAAGCAGATGTTTGTGGCAGATGAGCGGCCAAGCAAGTGTTGGATTCAGGAACTGGATGGAATGGTAGACATGGGAAGAATGGGTACCGAACCGAAGCGGTTCGGTAGCTCCTGGACCCGACGGTTTGGCACCCGGGTCCCGGTCGTCCCACCGAACCTCATGCAGAAGGTACTTGAAGACCTAGGGGTGACAAACAGCTGAACTCCACTTCCCACGGAAAACCCGGTGACTACCCAGACGCTCCAAACAGCCCTTGGTCCCTCAAAACCTAGGGAATTGAGACCCCAGACCCCTCCATATGAGGGTCTGACCCCTCCATAGAGGGCCCGTGAGCGTCTGGGTAGGAGTACTTGTTGGTGGCATCAGATGCTTCAAGATCCTTCAAGCGAGAACACCAAAAAGAAAGACCCAACTGCTTCGCCTTTCCAAAGGCCTCGTCCGCACCACTCTCAAACCCTACGAACTCCAGTCACTATACTACTATACCTGAAACGGTTCGGTATGACTGGAGTCTCCTAAACCATCCTGGGCCCCGGTCGTCCGAACCGAAGCTCAGCCATCACCCCTCCGAGGCGTTGCCCCGAAGCTGACGGCAGACGGGCACGGAGGTGGGTGGCGTTTGGAGCTATAGCCAAGGGGGTGCCAAGAAAGACACCAGTGGGCTCGTTTCTGGGGATTCCACGCCAAGAATTACAGCCCAGACCGGACCTAGAACTCCTAGCTCAAAGGACGGAAACTTTATACAGCCACCGAACTCTACAGGTCTCCCTCATCTGGTGGCTGCAGACTTCAAGCTTTCGCAGGTGGTGACCTGTAGAGTCGGGTGCAGTTATATAACATGTGTTGAATTGAGCCGAAAGTCTTGAAAGGAGTATAGATGGAACGATATAGCGTTTCTATAGGTTTGACGATCCACCGGGGCAGGTTCTTGCTGACACTGTGACTGTGATCCTTAAAGATGCGTTAGAACTTGTGTGCTGGTGATTAGTAGAGTAGCGGCTTGGATCGGCATGGCCGGCAGCACTTCCAACTCCAATGCTTGTCGACAGAAAAGAGTGCAAGGACCCAGGTGGTTCATCAGCAATAGATCTACCATGATCATACTCATCCGCAGGTCATGGTAATTATTGGACGCCTGGTCTTGCCACTTCTGAGCGCTTAGTTGAACTGGGACTGGGCCAAAAGGACCCTTTCCACGCGAAATCCACCGCTTTCCGCCAGGCGATCGCGCGAAAAGATCCACCTGAACCCAGCATGGCCGTCGCGGTGACGCCCGTGGCGCGGTCGTGACGGTGCGGCCTGGGCCGTTGCGGATCAAGAGCGAAGTCTTGGAAGATCTGAAATGGGACTGGAAGATGTGCTTCTCATTGCTTCTCAGTCCTTGGAATCTCGTGTCACCCTCGTCTTGACGAATTTGGGCGGCTTCGCCGGCTTCGGCATGGCTAGACCAGTCCTGAGTTGGCGGGGGCATCTCGAGCTTCGATCGCTCTCGCAGGTTGGGACCGAAAAAAAGCCGCGTGGCGCGTGAGTCCGTGCGTCATCGTCAGTGCGTCAGTCAGCTAAGTGAGTTCCCCTGAACCCCCAGTTCCCAGCCACTGGTGATGGAGGTTTCTGGGGTCAAAGCTCATTATGCATGTCAATTTGCTATGGTTTTGAGGACTTCAAGAGTTCTTTGACAACTGGCACCGGTCCCAAGCCGCTAACATGGAACGTCCAAAAGCTGGGTTCACACGGGAATGGACCAGAGTCCAAATGGTTGGGAATCCCTGGAACCGAAGAAATCGTGCTTCTTACTCTTCACGGAAGGTAGCTTGAGCTACACTGAGAGGTACCAGTGGAGTACCAGTAGCATTCTTGGAATCTTTGCACATCTCTGGGAGGCAGAGTTTTCCTTGTGTCAGTTTGTTTGAACGTACTCCGCGAGTAAACAAAAAAACAAGTCGAAGAGAAGGGATGGTGCTCTTCAAGCAGACCTATACTGAACTACTCCTATGATTTGACCAAAGAAAGCACACCAATTCAGGGTCAAACCTTTCAAAGCAGACCTGCTGCAATGAGCTCTTTTTGCTTTCCACCATGCTGTTAAATATTGTCCACCCTCGTTTTGAGGCTGTTTCTCCTCAAAAAGAGAACCAACACACCGAGAAACAATGGATAAGGACGTCGGACGTCAAAAATAGGAGAGGACAGGCGCTAGAGATCTCTAAACTGGAGGATTTTGCAGACTAGCGTGAAAAAGACATATCACTGGCATGAGACGTGCAGAAGACGAGTCAGGAGACACTTCTTATTTAGCAGTAGGTTATAGTAGCTTTCTACTTAAACATGCAAAAAGCGTTCAAGAACGTGCAGGTTTTGTTCTTCACAGAAATTGCAGAATGCGCTCAGATGAATAGTCATGTCGCCTCTATACTGCAAGAGCTTGTGTTTTTCCTCAGTCTGGTCTGCATCAGCGACTTGAATGCAGGGCATTAAACCGTGCTGCCAAAGGCTTGGGACTGAACCCTCCATAGACATCCATAGACCTTGTAACTTGGAGACATTTGGACACAATCTTTCTCGAACGAGTAAGACAGAAAGCCAGGAGCAAGGACGCTACGAACGGGCTCCTGGCATCGCGACTCGAACGGAGCATTCTGACATTGGAGACATTTGGGACATTTGGTCAAGGAAAACGACTTCCCCTCCGAAAGGTCCCAGGTATTCGACACCTCAGGCACTTCTGAAGCCGTCCTGGTTTCCTTCAGTGAGTTCGGAGGGTCGGAGCTCAAAAAGCGCAGGAACCACAGCCGTGCTTGGTGCGTCTCGTATTCTCGGTGGTGATCTCCGACTCAGACTTGGGACTTCTGCGAAATGTTGCCAAAAAAAAATACAAGAAACTATGTTGCTAGGTTTTGCTTAGGGTGATGTGGTACTTTCCCTATTGGGCAAATCCCCTTCTACGAAATCGGAATATGGTTTGTCCTTAAGCCATCCAAGGTAGAAGAAGACCCCAAGGGGTGGTCTTTGGACCCTTGGGGTTCTTAGACACCTCTTACCGGCGCCCCGTAGGGTCCCCTGGTGATCTACAAACTCACCCCAGAACCATCGGGTTTTGTATACAGTGGTTCCGCGTGGCAGCCATGATGGAGCTGCGTTCATCCTTCCAAATGGTCCTCTTCATGGGGTCCATGATGAATGTATGTTCTAACTTTCCGTGGATGGTCTGGGGACGGGGCTGAAGATCCATCGAGCTTGGCTCGCTTGGCGAAACGCGGTCGCTGCAGGTGAAACCCTTCGTCGCTTGCTACGCCGAGCAAAGCCGCAGTCCCGGGCGGTGGAGGGCTTGCTGATTTGCAGCCTGGTGTTAGGCGCCTCGGCACTTCTCGCAAGGCACTTCCGCACCGGAACAAAAGAGGACATGCGACAAGTTCTTTTTGGGACCAAGTAATGATGGGACCACCCCAGCTCCAGATTGACTATATGGAGTACGGAGGAAGGCTTTGCTTGAGGGTCAAGATTGTTACTACAAGTGGGGCAAGCTGATAGCCGATTTGTTCCAAGTGTGGCTCAGGTGTCTTGGGATGGCCAAAGACCAGTTGGTCTTGGCAAACTTGTTTAAAACCGGTCGACATACCCTACTTGAAACGTCTCCATTAATGAAACACCGCAAATGGCCAATGCGAACTTCACAGGCTTTCTTTATACCTACTGAGACCTACAGACCGTTCCTCGTTTTGGAGGATGGATTCGCTTAGTCCCGTGATCCTTTTTCCTCTAAATCCTTTGCTGCACGTCGTTCGCTTCGCCCGGTCCAGCCGCCTCTTCCGCCGGTCACGGACGGTCCTCCTTGGTTCGCCCGAGGGACCGAGGTTCTCGCAGTGAAGCAACATGAGGGACCGTTTGGTCTGTTTTGATCATACACAGAATGATGGCTACTCCCGTAAATAACTAGTCCAGAGTGCCACCCACATGGTCCTTACTCAAGGGAGCCATACAGAATGTAAGGATTGACAAACTAATATCTGAGGGATGAACAGTACAGAGAACAAGCCCGTCACTGGGGAGAACATGCTACGGGGGTTGGTCCATCATCCTGTTTTGAATTCAGCCGGGGATCGACATGAGGAGGCAACACAAGCTCAAGCGAACGCTATTTATAAAGCTATATATTTGTTTCATGTAGCGAATCATCATCAGTCACAATAATATGTTCCCTTTGATCCATACCAAAAACTTTGCCATAAACGATGATACACGAATTGACTATCATACTATATGTCGTCATTTGTCATATTGAATATTGTATATACAAATACATAATACATCATAATACATAAAGCATCATAAAGCAAACATGTTGAGATCATGCCATGCACATTTTGTATCATATGATTTCAGTTTATATCACATATAAGCACATCAAACTGTTGCATCAGACACTGTACACCTACTGCCTGCCCTTCCCATTCAACGCACTCCCAAGGATGGTACAGCTCCTCGGCTGGCAAGGGAACCTGAAACCTGCCAAGTCACCACCTGCCACGTTTTAAGTCTCCAAAAGCCTCTTGAAGAGACCTGTTGGAAGAGACCTGTTGGTACCAAGAGTTCCGTGTCAGGAAGGTTCTTGCTGGAATCCGGTCCGCTGAGGGTCTCACCTGCTCGAACGAAATGGACTGATTTTGGGAATGCTTCTTCACTGGTGCTTTACCAACACACTGGTTTCTACTATCTACCTTGCCTTACATGAAAGTTCAACAGGGCTGATTTTATTCAACAGGGCTCATTTTATTTTGTTCATATCTGTTCATCCTTTCCTTCTCACCGAAAACATCTCGCGCGACCAGTTTGTGCTGGCGCAAAAGATCACCGGGAGCCAATGTAGAGGGGAGCGGATCACCGTCCATAGATGGCCTTTTACGCCCTTGGTTGAGACACCCCCAGGTGAACAAGCAATAGATAGCTGGACCTTCGAAACGGTCCAAACATAGAGTTGCCTTTTTACAAAGGAATTTATCCGGCAAAAGATTGTGCCACTTGAAGCCAGGTATGATAACTTGCATCGACCCCTCTAGTTTTCACGAAGGGACATGATTGCTGTCCATCACATCCGACCAATATATCGGATTGCAAACCACATCCCCCGAAAAGCTTGCACTACCACATCCCCCGAAAAACTGTCACATCCGAAGTTCCACATAAAGCACTGGAGCACTGCGCAGAAAAAGCCATAACCTACCCAGGAAGTAGTGGAGATCAGCGATTGCAAGCTTTCCGGGGGTGGAGGAATTGGGGAGTCTACCGCTCCAGGGGAGTTTACCAGTCGACCCACATCAAATCCAGGTGTACTTCGGAATCGCTTCACCGTGGGATTTCCATCAGGCGTTCGACCGGCGACCAACCAGGCGTTTCCATTACACTGGTGCTGCTGAACAAATGGGTCATGACCTCCTGGAAAGGCGCTCCATGTGGGGGCGGTGGATGTGGGTCAGGTCACGGAGCCCAGGTCCAGTGGGTTGACCTCCCAGTGGTCTCTTTGGTTCTTCCTTGTCGGTCCCCGGGTTTGGAACCTATAGCCAGCTATGAGGCTATGAGTGTGTGCGTGTGCCAAAGATGATTACATTTCGGAACATGCAAGTGCTTGGGCATTTGTTCAACAGAAATTGAGAACAGTCCTATATAATATAGTAACTGAGACTCAGACACACCCCTTAAAAGTATAGACCTCCTCCCGTACGTCAAATACACTTGATCAGCTGGTTCACAATGTGTATTTGCATTGCCCCTTGAGCCTAGTAGAGTTTGTTATATAATTCCTGATTCGCAACCTGTGCTGATCATTGGCCTTCTGGTGGGTGTAATGCCTCGAAATTCCTCAAACAAATGATAGGCTGGCAGACTACTTGGGTTCCTGCGCAGTTAGTGGATAACCGTTAACCTGTTTTGGAGATTGTTTCCCAGTCAAATCCAAGAGGTAGAACGTTGGGGGAAACTAAGGGCGTCAGGATTGATGTTTGGCTTGATGAATCTTTGTTTCTCACTTGCCCTGGGTCCAACTTGCGCAGCAGCTTTGTTGAGCATTACCATTTTGAGGATTTAGGCCTATTTTGGCCACTTATTAGTAATGAATCATCATCATCATCATCATCATCATCATCATCATCATCATCATCAT